GGTTCTTAAGTGTGATGAATGATCTCCCTGCTATCCGCTTAGGGCACTGTGGAAATACAGCTCTTATTTCGATATTCTCTTACAGCAGTCTCCTCTGGCACTGCTTCCACAGGGATGGAACACTGCCTCATCTCCACCAGGACAGAGTACAAGCCTAGTTTTCCCACTTTGCTGGCACTTTGACATGCACATGGAGTAGCAATGGCTAGACAGAAGTGCAAGTTTAGACTCCCGGACAGGCCTCTGCCAACACTGTTTTGTCTGGAGGGGTAAAGTGTCTCAGGCCTGCTCCTCACATGGCCTTCCCTGACACGGTAGTGTGGAAGCCTTATGGGTACTATGTGGTGGTGGAAGTTGAGGCCTGGTCTGACATTAGTTGGATGCTAAATGGACAGCCAAGCCCAGGCACCTCATGTATACTCCACTGATACCACTGAGGCAGGTAGGATTAAAAGGCTTCTCTGTCAACACCTCAACACGAGGTTCTGGCACCTCAATACACTGTGAAAGGTAAAGGCTTTCACCTTGGCTTTGGCTAACAGGGGTAGGGCCACATTGGTGTTTTGTTCTGTTTTCTTTTTCTTTTGGAGTTTTTTTTTCCCCTGTGTTGTTTAGCTGCAGTAGAAAGGTTATCTAAAAGCATTCTGTGTTGTTAGGTTTTCCCTTCCCAGGTTCTGTATAAACAGCAAGGAATTATTAAAACTTTTTTTTTATTTCCTGAAATGATCTTGTTATTGATGTCAACAGAATCACTATGAGATATACAAGGAGAAAATGAAACCCAGATGACTCACTGCCATGAATCCTCAGATTGCTAGTTAATCGCTTGCCTTTGTTTCGATATTTCAAAGTCTGTGTATGTTTCTTTTTAATATACTATCCAGGCTTTTGGGATGCACCCTGTGGAGTAATAAGGAAAGTATGTCTATTCTAGCTTTCTGAAAACAAACATGTTTTCATCACTGTGTAAAGGCACCACAAAGAATGCAACCATTCACCTACACGTGTCTATGGACACGTAGACTGCTGCAATTATTTACCAAGTATAAACAATATCATGAAGCAATTTGTAATGTAAAATATACTTACAATTTACAAGGCTATCAATTTTAAGGTGCAAAATGTTGTTGTATTTAGCATGGTCACAATTTTGTGCAACCATCAATACAATCTAGTTCTAGAACTTTCTCATCACTCCAAAGGAAAACACCATATCCATCAAGTAGTCATGCCCACTTCCCTCTCCCCTAACCACACAGAATGCACTTACAACTTGCTCTCTCACTCTATGGGCTTGCCAACTCTCAACATTTCACATAAATAGAGCCATATAATATGTGGCCTTTTTGCCTTTTTCATGTAGTATGATGTTTTCAAGGATCATCCATGTTATAGTAATCCATCAGTCATTGCTTTTATTGGCTGATACTCCACCGCATGAATATATCAAATTTTGTTATTTATTCATTAGCTCATTGACACTCAGGTCATTTCCACAGTTTGACTATTATAATTATTATTGCTATGAACATGTGTACAAATGTTTGTTTCCATCATTCTTAGCTACGCTACTGCTGGTTCATAGGGTAAGTCAATGTGTAACTTATTAGAAAATGAAAAATTATCTTCAACAAAATGGCTCACTTGCATTGCATTTTGGTGTTGTTGGAAATGTCTCTTCACTGAAGAGTCTTAGAAATAAAGTGGCTGTCCAAGTTAGGTGCATTTGTAGCTTTATTTAGCATTCTAGATCCACCGCCCTTAGCATTGTGCCAATTTACATTCCTACCAGTATTGTATGAAAATTCATGTCATGCTACAGTACAGCCTCACTAACAAAATATATGAACAAATGAAATGTTTGTGTCTATGGGCATATCTTTTTTTAAAAACAAAATACATTCTTTTTAAAATTTAAAATTCATTTGTATTTGTTTGAAATGCAGAAGACAGAGAAAGATGTGTCACCCACTGGTTCACACGTCTCCTCCCCACATGCCCTCAACAATTCAATCTGAGTCTTCCGCATGGGTGGTAGGAACTCCAGTGCTTAAAATATAACCTTCTGCCTTCCAAGGAGTGCATTAGCAGGAAGCTATAATTTTTAGTTGAACCAGAACTCAAACCCAGGCATTATGACAATGGATATTTGAGGCTCGAGTGACGACGTCACTGTTCATCCAAATGCCAACCCTAAGCATACTTTTTAATTTTCACATAACTGTTCAATGACAATTTGTTAGCTTAATATTAATTTTTATTTATATTTATATAATTTTGATTTCAAACATTTTTAATATATAGAAGGGCTGTTTTACAAATTTTTGTGAACTGCTTGTTCATGCATACTTTCAAATTTTTCCATTGAGTCGTTTTGTCCTAAGAATTTTTTTTTATATATTAGGGATATTAGTCTTCGGAACATGTTATAAATATTTTCTCCTAGTTTGAGGACTGTATTTTGGGTTTTAGTGGCATATTTGTCATGTAAATTTTTTTATTTTTATGCAATAAAATTTGTCAAATTTTATTTATTTTGCTGGCTCTGGATGTTGAGTCATTCAGAAGGTTAAAGGGAAATTCATCCATATTTGCTTCTGGTAAAGGTATACATGCAGGTTTTGCCCTTATACATGTGATCCATTTGGAATTTATTATTACACCTAGTGTGAGACATGAGTCTCATTTTATCCTTGTTTAGATGGTAACCAATTGCCCCAGAATCCTATAGAAAGTCCATTTTTGTACCCCAGTTTACTGGGATACTGCTTTCGTTAAACACCAAGTTCTACTTTTGTTTTTTACACATAAAAATTCAATATGGGTATATATTATTAAAAACCATGTAGATATATATGTGCTTTCTTCTCTGAAATGATTTAAAAATGTACTGAAGCAGGATCAGAAGTAAGGGTTGAGGACAGGTAAAAGGAAGACTTTCTTTTCTTTTGAAACTTATGTGCATGAATTGCTTTTGATTTTAAAAATTAAAAAAATTAAAACAGTAATTATACTTTTCAATATACCCCTTGGAACCAAAAGTACTGTCTACTCTTTCCTTCCTCAAACTGGATCCTTCCTTCCCAAGAACGCAGGACTTCCCTATCTACTTCCACTGTTATTGCTCACTCTTCCTCAATCTGTTTCATATGTCATCTCTTGGTCCTTCACACGCTGACATTCCTGAGATTTCAATACTTGTCATAACATGTAGTCTTGAAGTACAAATATTCCCTAAGACGCTGGACTTTATGCTAGATATGTGGTTGCAAGGAACGAATCTCAACTGAACTTGAACTGTGGTTATGCAACAAGGTGGAGGAATCCACCATGGGGGGAGGGGTATGGGAGGGGTGGAGGGAATCCCCAGCGCCTATAAAACTGTATCACATAATACAATGTTAACAACAATAAAAAAAAAAAACAAATATTCCCTAGGCAAAACTGTTTGATCATCTCCTTGCTACTACTGAAATCCAATCCTATTTCTCTACCCTTGTTCTCTTCTCTAACCTCTCATGACTCTTTATGCATAGTTATGTCCCAAACTGAATGCTGATATTCTCTTTCAAACCTGTTCCTCCTCCTCCCCCAGCCTTATCCATATAATAAAGGACAATTTTATTCTGTGAATTGGTCAGATTAAAAAAAAAAAAAAACCTTTAGAGCTATTATTAAGTCTCTTCTTTTCCCACATACATTTTTAATCAAATCATATAGGCTCTGCCTTCAAAATATACCCTAGGGGCTAGCTCTGTGGCATAGCTGGTTAGGCCACAGTCCAAATATCTGAGCCCCTACATCCAAGCGGGAGACCCAGAAGAAGCCTCTCGCTTCTGTGTTTGGCCTGGCCCCAGTTCTAGCAGCCATTTGGAGAGTGAATCAGAACATGAAAGATGTCTCACCCTTTCTCTCTTTATAACTTGGCTTTTCAAATAAATAAAATAAATCTTAACAAAAACATTCTGACTCTAACGACTTCTGACCCTCTCTACTGTTACCACCCACATGTGATGTAAATCCATATCCTGATTGCATTGGGAAAATATCCTCCTAGTCACCTTGTTTCAAGCCTTTTGAGCTACACAGGAGCCCAAATAATCCCATCAAAAACATATCACATCCATCCCCTGCTGAAAATTCCATCTTAGAGCAAAGCCAAAATCCATCCAATGGATATTAAATTCCTTCCGCAAATGTACTGTGCTTTCCCCGTCCATTACATTGTTGCCTTTATTTCTTCTTTACCTTAAAGCACTCAGGGATTTTTTTTTTTGCCATTGTCATTTCCTCATTACAAAGACACCTTCTTCATCCCTTGAGCAAAGGAAGATTCTTACCATCTAAGACACGGAAACATCAAGAAGAATCTGAACAAACAGAATTTACGAAGCTCTCCCTAGTTTACTATCAGATTGTGCTGCCTTGTCCTTTAACAATATTGCTTCGCAGCCATCCCCTTCTCTGTCAAACTTGGTATAAAAAAATGTGAAAGCATACTTGTTCCTCTAGCTCCTCATTTCTGAAGGCTTCTGTGTCATATAAAGCTTAATAAATACATAAACCTGTATACTTTTCTCTTGTTGATCTGTTTTCCATTATAGGGGTCCAAACCATGAGTCCAGGAACAGGTAAGAAGACACAGCTCATCTTCCTTAGAGTTACCTTGTTATATGCCACTTTTATGCCTCATATTTTCCTCTGTTTACATATTTTTCTCCACACTCCAATGCTAGCTCCTTAAAGGCTCAGAAATGTAACTACTCCAATACATGCAGCTTCAAGCATAGTATGAGATAGTCAAGCAATATTTTCTGAATGAGTAAATTTTCCAGGTCCAGAATCACCGTTAAAATGTCATCCCTTCATAATGGGATTACCTTTCATGGTCGAGTTGAGCAAAAGAGGAAAACACAAACCTAAGAGGTGCTGGGGGCTAGGGGTTGGAGGGAGAAGCTAACACGTGGAGTGTAATGGTGGTGAGAATAGGAAGTGCATACCTTTCCAAAGTGCTCGATTAGAATTTCCACCACAATGTTCTGAAACTTGATGTTCATCATGGCGGCCACAGTGTCCTCCTGAGCTCTCATCAAGGTAGGCCCAAAGATCACTCCCATGTTGGAGGGAGTCATAAGATTCTCTTTGCTGTGCTCACACACACTGCCAGAAGAGAAAGAAAACGATTTAATAAGATTGACTGCAACAATTCCTCTGTCATCAAAACCATGTGAGGTGTATACTAAGTAAAAGAAACTTAAAAAGCAGAAGGAAGGATCCAAAGTACATAAGAGAAGAAAAGACTAAAAACAACTGACAATAAACACTGATAGACAGTTAAGAGCCAGAGGAAACCATGCCTAAGACGACTAGCAGCACTAGAGAAGAGGTGATGTATGGGAAAAGCATTTGGCAAAAAGCATTTGGCAAGGCAGGGAGCCAGCAAGAGGGCATTCAAGGCAAGAGGAGCACCAGGAGCGTGTATGAAGAACAACAAAGCACATGGAAAAAGTCTATGGGTTTCCCCGGTCAGGAATCTAATTTCTTCCTCTAACTCTCTAATCACATGCACTGAAAACTTAAAGGGACTGCTATGATCATCCTTTGGGGGTCTGTACTACGGCATAGCATTTTAAGCTGGCACCTGCATTGCCAGCACCCTATATGGATGCCAGTTGGTGTCCCAGCACTCCACTTCCAATCCAACTTTCTGCGAATGCACCTGAGAACGCAGCACAGACTCAAGTGCATACGCCCTTGAACCCACATGGGAGACCTGGATGAAGCTCCCGACTCCTGAGGTAGGCCTGGCCCAGCCCTTAGCTACTGCAGTCATTTAGGGTGTGACCAGCAGGTGGAATATTTCACAATCTGCCTCTCTCTCTCTATAATTTAAACAAAATACATCTGTTTAAAAAAATCATCCTTTTATCATATTCTTTAGATGGGGGGGGGGCCCAAAGAAGGGCAGGGACTTGCTCAAAGTCACCATCAAGGTACAGACATCATCAGGTTCCGTAATCCCCAAAGACCTGATTTGCTAGTCAGCGTCCTTGCTGAAATTCCTTGCAGTAGTTTCCTAATTTGATAGAACAGGGGCAATTCTTTTTAAAGCGGCAATTACAGACTTTCTTTAATTGACTATTTTTAAGCCCTATGCACACGCAGGGTCTAAAACAAACATGGATTTAATTTGCAGCCCTGCCACTCACCACCCGCACAACAAGGCATGTTCATTCTGTCCTCTCTAGGTTTCTCCTATCCTACTTGCCAAAACAGTATCCACTTCAGAGATGAATTGAGAAAAGAGAGGTAAATTGCTTTGGCATGATACCTGGCATCTTGGAAACTGTGCCGGTATTATTCCCATTCCGGGACTCTCCATTCTAGGCACTGCCAATCTTTGATACTATTGTGATCCTAAATGGCTTAGATTTTTCTAGCTATTTCATCACGTTTTATACCTCCACACCTTTGCTCAGTGAATCCCTGGCCATACAATGTACTATTGTATTATTTTCCCTATACCTAGAGAATATCTGACTATCTTTTGAGATTCACAGTAGATGCCATCTCCGCTAAAACTACCATTGCTCACTGTCTTCTGAACTGACACCTCTGGCAAGCAAACTATGGTGCAATTTTCTGTGTATTTGCATGCCTCTCTTGCTGGGTAGCAAACCACTTTCCAGTGTGTTACCAGCCCACAACAGGTACTAACTAATTATTTCGAAGGGAATTGAGCTCTTCTGGTACTCTTTCAAACTGGAGGCAGCAAGTGAAAGGCATGCCGGATTAGCATCCTTTTGGCTGTGGGTGTGAGGAGGTATTCAGAAGCTAGAACAGCCCAGGTACCAACCCAAAATACTAATTTTCTAAACCAGCCCAGGCAAAGGCCTTTAAAAGACTGGCCCATCAATAGGCAGGTTCTTGACACTAAGTGGGTAATTGAGAGGGTTTGAATCTTTAGACAAACCTTAATTCAAACCCTAATGGAATCTGTTGAACTCTTGACAAAGGCTGGTGCCATTCAGATGGTAATAAGCAGCAACTACTCAGGGCCTTTGATATGGCTAGACTGGTGGTGATGAATCCATTTCAACAATTTAAATACTTCTGCAATTAACCTGTATTCTTTATGGAGAGATTTTTCTTTCAGATATTCAAATGAAAAGTGTCTCCATGCTGCCACCAAGTGATCCCAGATGACTAAACCTTAAGTGGCAAAGCCAGGATAATTGCTTATCTCCTTTTGTTAAGCTTTGAAAGAAGCCGATGTTTGCTCAATGTTCCAGCAACTCAATGAACCATCACAATTCCACAATGCAGAGTATTTCAGCCATTTTGATGTGTGTGTGTCTGTGTGTGTGTTTTAAAAAATGTATTTATTTTATTGGAAAGGCAGATTTGCAGAGAGAAGGAGAGACAGAAAGATCTTCCATCTGCTAGTTCACTCCCCCGAGTGGCCACGAAGGCCAGAGCTGAGCCAAGCTGAAGACAGGAATCAGAAGCCATGAGCCAGGAGCCTTTTCTGGATCTCCCATGCAGATACAGGGTCCCAAAGCTTTGGGCCGTCCCTGACTGCTTTCCCAGGCCACATACAGGGAGCTGGATGAGAAGCAGAGGAGCTGGGACATGAACTGGCACTCACATGGGATTCTGGTGCTTGAAGGGGGGCGATTACCAATTGAACCATTGTGCTGGACCAGAGTATTTTACTTTTGAAATCTAGATTTACCAAGTTAAAGCACTTAGCAAGGTCACAAAATTAGTGAACACATGGCAAGGCATGGGTTCAAACCTTCTTAAGTAATCCCATTGTACCCACTGCCAGCTTTTCTAGTTCAAAACTCCTTACAGGAGTTGTTTTAACATAAAATTATCTTCTATTTCTCTGAAGAACGTTCCTGGTTTCTCATGTAGGGTACTCGTCCTTCTTGGTCTTTAAAGGAGACCTGAAAGGTTACCTTTCCTCCAGGAATATTTCTTTGTAATTGGCAAATCAAAATGAGGCTTAAAAAACATTCTAAGGGTGGCTCTTCAGGCAGGTTAATCCACTGCTGTGACACTGGTATTCCATATGAGTTGCTCATATAGCTTCTCATACAGTTGCTCTACTGGCTCATGGCTTCTGGATCCTGTCTTCAGCTTGGCTCAGCTCTGGCCTTGGTGGTCACTTGGGGAGTTAATTAGCAGACGAAAGATCTTTCTGTCTCTCTTTCTCTCTGCAAATCTGCCTTTCCAATGGCAAGAAACAAATCCTTTTTTAAAAACAAACAAACAAACAAACAAAATAGCTAAATGACTCTGATCTAATTCCTAGCTAATGGCCTGGCCTGGAAGAAGCTCCTGCTTCCTGGTTTCAGCTTGTCCAGTCCTGGCCTTTGAGACCCTCTGAAGAGTGGACCAGTAGATGGAAGATTTCTTTCTCTCTCCACCCATCACCTGTCCCTGGAACTCTGACTTTTAAATAAATCTTTTAAAATTCTAATAGATTCCTATAAGTAGATGAAATTTGGACCCCTATTTAAAGAAAAACTGTAATACATTTTGGATCACTGAAAATCCAAAACATATTTGATGATGTTCAGTAATTGTTATAATTTCTTTTTAGATGCGATTTTATTTTACTTATGCTTATAAAGATTTCTCATCTCTTCTGTATATAAATTGAAATAGTTATGGATGAAAAAATAAGAAGTCTTGGAGAAATCTGGGGGGATACAAATGAAATGAGCTTAGTCACACATCCATAATCACTGAGGCTGGGGGATGGGCACATAAAAGCTCCTTACACTCTTTCTTACACTTTCGAATATACACACTTGAAATCTTGCAAAATAAAAAGTTCATCAAAGGAAAAAAAAAAAGCAATAGGTTGGTATTGCGGTGCAAAAAGTTAAGCTCCTGCTGATAAGGATGGCATCCCAGGATGGAGTGTCAGTTTGAGTACCAGCAGGTCTGCTTCCGATCCTCCTCCCTGCTACTGCTCCAGACACTGCAATCATTTGTGGAATGAGCCAGCAAATGGAAGATACTTGTCTCTCTGTCTCTGCTTTTCTCTCTGTCACTGCGCCTTCAAAAGAAAAATAAAATCTTTTTTTTAAGAACACTACAATCAAAGCTATTATGTCCTAGCCTATATGTGCAAACATGCATGTTCCTAAGTATATATGTAAGTATATATGTGTGTGTTCATGTGTAGACATATATTTTCATTTTTTACCAAAATGAGATTTTGGGGTTCTTCCAAATGTCAACAAACCTAAGGACCATTTTTCTTTTTCAAACTGTAATCTTAATTCTGGATAAATGTTAGAATCTTTTTTTTTTAGATTTATTTATGTTTATGGCAAAGTCAGATATACAGAAAAGAAAGGAGACAGAGAGCAAGATCTTCCATCCATTGATTCACTCCCCAAGTGGCCACAACGGCCGGTGCTGCACCAATCTGCAGCCAGGAGCCCAGAGCCAGGAGCTTCTTCCAGGTCTCCCATGCAGGTGCAGGGTCCCAAGGCTTTGGGCGGTCCTCAACTGCTTTCCCAGGCCACAAGCAGGGAGCTGAATTGAAGCAAGGTGGCCGAGATTAGAACCAGTGTCCATGTAGGATCCCAGCGTGCACAAGGCAAGGAACTTCGCTGCTAGGCTACTGCACTGGGCCCAGAATCAAGACATTTTACAAAATCAATATTGTCAAGCAGGAGTTCTCATGTAATTATCACATCCTCTGCATGCATAAACTTGATAATAGCTCCTTATATTTAGCATTCTCAGCTAAATCATGTTCACTGCTGCATTTATCTTCCACTTAAAATGTCTTCAAAAACATTACATGATGATTTGACAATAAGATCTTTTTTTTCCTTTTTGAATAGTACCTAAAATAATATAATCACCGCAGTTGATGGCATTGATGAAATTCAGGGCATAGTTCAAACTATGCTAAAGTACTTAAATCTACAGAAAACAGGGTTGGAAAATACACAGAAAAAGGGACACTGTGTTCTGCAGGGAGCTCCAAACGAGTAACATCAACTAAATGTTTCATTGTCTTTTTGTTTTTCAAAAAAGTCTCCTTATATTTATTTACTGGAAAGGCAGACTAAGAAGGGGAAGGAAAAGAAGAGAGAGAGAGAGATCATCCAGCCTCTGAGTCAGCCTCA